CTCCTTTCTTTTCGTTTTTCTTCTGTTTGTTTTCCCCCCAAATATTTTTGCTTTTTTTGCACTCTTTTCCACTCTTCTTCTGTACTTTCACTTTTTGGGGGCATTTTCTGGCACTCATAGGCCAAATCGGGTGCCACATAGTGCTGCACAGTGATAGGAGGCAGCAAAGCCAGAGCTCCACAAAAGTAGGGGTGAAGAGATGGGTTCTGGGGGTTTCATCAGGGAAGAGAAGGGGTTTGCTGTGTGTAGGGGAGGCAGGCACATCCATCCATCTAAACCTAGTCCCAGGAGATTTAAGGACCCTTGCTGGCCATCAGCACACAGCTCATCCCAGTGGGAATTGCTGGGGAGGAGCCAAGTTGTGTCCTGCACAGGGGCACCCTGCAGGGCTGGTGAGGCCCCAGCTGTGGTAGGGTGGTGGGATTGAAGCCAGGACCTCACTGTTGGCTCTCAGCATGCCCAGGACCACAGAAGAGCAGAAGCTCCTCAAGTGACCATGGGAGCCATTGAGCAGGTTAGTTAGTGAGGGCCCCTTACAATTTCCCACCCTGTCTGAGGCTCCTCTGTCTTCTTCTGGCTCCCCATCAGAAGAGGCTGAGCTCTCTCCTGGAGTTTCCCAGCTTCAGGGCACTCTTCTGAGCAGGCTGTTCCAAACTTTCTCCCCTCAAGCCAGGTGGAGAAGACTGGGCTTTGCTCCTGGCCAAGTAGAGCACTTGGCTCACTGCATCATCTCCTGGAGAGCTTTGCCTCGTTGGCTTTCCAACATCTTTGGCAACAGCTTCAGTGTGCACAAACCTCTCAGTGCTGGTGCTGTGTTTCTTCAGCTCATCAACCACCTCAATTAGTGGGAGGTTGGCAGCAATGAGGAGGCCAAGGGAGGTGGGCAGTCAACAAGGGGGGCAGCAGCTCTCTTGCTAAGGGCCCTCCATTCCTGGTTCCTGCCCACTGAGCACTAAAGCTTTTTTCCCTGCTTCCAGCAAGCCAAACCCAACCTTAATCCTGCATTTTCATACCTTCTGCAGCTCATCAAGCTTAGGTGTCCACTCCCTGGGGCTCCCCATGAAGCAAAGACCTTGATGGCTACCTGTTTCTTCCCCAGTAGCTCCAATACCTATAGTGACAAAGCTCATCCCATACTTCTTCCCCAAAATCCACAGCTCTCCTCATCCCCTAGGGTGCCTCCAGCCTCTGTACTTCACTGGGTGCCCAACCAGCACCATCCACACCTGTTTTAGGGAGCCATCACAGCAGATCACAGGAGTTAACCCCCTCCTTATATATCGATAGTGTTATGTACTTAATAGAAGCTGCATTGAAACCAAGACAAACTTGCTTTGGTCCAGAAAGTTGTCTTTTGTTACAAACCATGGCATGGTGTAATCATCTGCAGTAGGGGTTATCAGGTCCTGCATGGCTAGTGCAGTCCAGGAGCACAGCCATGGTCTGTGGCACATATCCATGTAGAGCATCCTGGGGCATGGATGCCCTTTCCAAGGGTCCTCCAGCACACACTGATGTGCCTTCTGGTGGCTGTTTCTCCCTCTTTGTCATGCCAGGGTGATGTCCAGGTTCAGCCTGTCCCACCCATGGGACAGTGCTTGAATGTACAAAGGGTGCCACAAACACGTTTGGTAAAGCACAACTTCCCTCCTCCCCATTTTCCCCTTTGAGCCTTCAAAAGGCTCCTTCCATGCACAGACCAGGCAGCTCCTGGGGTTGTTCCATCCCACCCATGGCCCAGGAGGGACATCCACACAACCCCAACCCAGGTGGAAGCAAGACCCAGTGTGGTGTCACCCTGCCATGGCTATGGCTGCATCGCTGCTTCTCCCCTCAACACGTCAAGCAAAGGCACCCCAAGTCTGGCATGGGAAAAGGGATTCCCTGTTTTTCACATGCATTGTGTGCCAGCAAGGCTTGTTGCTGTCCCCCATGCTAACAGCACCTGTGTGTGAGGACACTC